TGGAGAGTTAGATGCTTTTATTATCATTTATTATGAATGTAGAACTCTTGTGGATGATAAGTACCTTTGTACCTAGAAGACTGAATTCATGTGATATTGAATCTAATATAAATAAAAAACTCAACTTTATTATTTTTCTATTATGTATTATTTTTCATAAGAGTTGGATCATCAATATTTGAGTAGAAAATTTAATCTAAAAAGTGAGAGACATGTATTCATCTTTATGTCCATTATTTCTATTTGATAAGATAATTAATAAAATATTTCTAAAACATTAAGATTATTGTTATCCATTTATACTCTTCAAGTTATTATTAGAACTTTTATATATACTTTGACACCACTATACTTCAAGAGTAGGAAAAATTAAACTTTTTCTTGTTATCTATAACCAAACTTTGGACAAACAATATTTGTTCATAGATAGGAGTTTATAGTGGTTAGGTCAATCAGATCTACTCCACTCTCTAAAAACAAAGTCTTTAAGTTCCATTGAGTTACAAGTAAAAATTGTTAAATTTTAATTTCAGCAAACCACCACTAAATATAGAAGCCTCAATGAACTTGTGTTAGACTATATGACTCTAACAACCAACCACTGAATATATAGGTCTCAACAAGCGTAGGTGTTAAATGATGAAGTATCAACTAATCTAAAATAATGATAAAAGTATAAACTTTCTTCCTAAATTAGTAAATAACTTCCTTAGCTTGAAAGTTCTTTAACTTAAATAAAGTAAGCCTCAAATATAGTACGGCATCATTTGATGATTTTTTTCAGAGCATTATGATACTTGATATTTTGATGATGACAAACAAGTTTAAGATCAATTAAAAGATTTAATCATTCCTAGTCCAAAATGTACATGTTAAGATATTGAAGAAAATGTTTAAGTATAATATAAGATAATATCAGTAAAATTTTAGGTGAGAACTTACCAAATATATTTGTCATGATACTAAACAAGTTAAATTGACTAGCTACAACATGAAAAGTTATTATCTTTATTGATGTGAAAATTACTAATATCTATAGAAATTGCCACATTAAATAAAACATTCAAATCAATGATATTTCTTAAATTAAAATATGGGTGTAAAAAGCTTACTCAATTCTACAAACTCATGATTTTATCTCATAAGTTTAGAAAGGCTTTGACTTCAAATTATGAGTGTATTAAGATTGTACATTTATATCAAATATAATATTGAATATATACTGAAAATTATGTTAATTATATAAATATAAAAATATGTGATTTAATCTATTGTGATCATCAATCAATATGTCTTCTTGGATATTGAATTTTGTTTGAAATGATTTAGGTGAACTTTAGTTATTTTATTATTATTTTAATGAGACATTTTAAGTAGTTCTACTCTCAAAATATTGGATCATTAATGGATTAATATAAATTGTTACAATTTAGATATGAATGTTAAGTAATGAAGGAATCATGTATTAGTTTCACTCAAAGATATCATCATATTCTATTAGACATTTGAATTAATCATATTTTAGAAAAACATTAGTCATTGAAAAAAAATGGAGATTTATAAAAAATTCATATGAAATTGGTTTATAAATTCTACTACATAGCAATCATAACAAGATAAAATAAATATCATTTTTTCTCTCAATTATTTTCAGTTTTATATTAAGTTTCTCATATAGAAAATTCAAGGAAGAAATAGTGAGGATTGTGTTGGCAAGTCAATGGCAATAACTCAAGGTGAATTGTTAAACCATTGAAGATCTTCCTTGATTTATTTAAAGTTTAAAGAGCCTTTAATCCATAGACAATAAGCTAACAAGAAAAAGAAAATGACTTCAAGTCACCAAACATCACACTTTTCATCGAAATTCTTAAAATACTCATACGGTATCATCTTTAGAATACTACATATGATGAAATTATTACATATCTTTTGTGATAATTTACGTTTAAATTACTTAATCCCTTATGAAAGCTATTGTGTTTAAAAATTGTCAGCCTCCAACAACTATAAATCTAGAAATGAGTTTCAGAGTGAAATTCTATTTGAGCTGAGCTATGTAATCATCATTGTATAATCATATGATCATAATTAGTGGAACCTAAGAACAAAGTTCTTCTTGAAAAGTGGACATAGGTAGTGAACTGAGTCATTTTGATATCCCTTAACTTTACATTCGTGTAGCTAGAAAGATTATATAAATCTTAAGAACAAAGGAAATTCTCTATAGCTAGATAAAGATAAGGTAGAATCACCAAAATAAATTTCATATTAAGAACATTTAAAAATACATCAATTTAACCCCCCCCCCCTCCCCCCGAAATCCTAGTGAGGCCTAGAACCCAACATACGTAATTATGAGTGATCTTCTTATCCTTTGGGTGCACAAGGATGCAAAATTTTCATAACTCTTTGGAGAAAGAAGATGAAGTCTCTATAAGCTTTCTCACAAATTCTTTATCTACATTTCTCACACTAACCCTAATTTGATGAAAGTTTGTCTTTTATGCTTGACTTAATGGGCTGTAATTGTCGACACTAACTAATCTATCGTGTTTATTAGGCCATACCTGTGATTGAATATATTTGTTAATCTTGTAAACTTTATGAATATCTGAAACATTTGAATTTAGGTAAGTTGGTGGTTGAATCATGTTTCTCTTTAAATTATCTTTTCAATAAATTTTTTCATGCTAATACTTGTAAAAATCATCATATTAAAAAAATAAGTCATTTTAATCATATGAGTTATAAGTATGGATCATTTTTGCCCTTGGATGATTTGCACCTAAATTAATTGAAAGACCTAATATATGCCAATTCATACTTCAAACATATCATCTAAAGGTTACCACATTGCCATTTGTCAACATCAAAACCTTTGGGCCTTTCAAAACCAACATGAATATATTCACTATTATCATGAAAAAGGATGTTACAACATTAACTCACATGAGTAAAGTTTGAGAGATATATAAGATCCTCTAGATAAGTGAAGCCAAAAAAGATAAAAATAAAGAAAACCAGAAATATGAAGCAAAGGATAATAATTCAAAATTTTAATTTCAAGAATTTTCATCATAGAGTCACTCAAAACATTTTTTTGTTTAAAATAAGAATATGCATATCAAAATAGAGTTAGATAATAAGAGAAAGAATGAGGTAATTTCATTTTTTTTTACTCTAGTCAAATTTTGATTAATTAATGCATCTAAGTCAAGTGATACAACTTAAGTGACATCTCATCAGCCTAACCACTTGGTGTTGGGTTAGCATGAGCATATCATGACCATGGTATCTCTCCACCTAGAGGTGGTTTGGCCAATCAAGGTTCACCTAGGAGCACTTAAGTTAGGCTAAAAAAACTGAAGTGATCATTCCTACTTATCCAAAAGGAATTATTCCATTCTTAAATTTTATCTCCTCTTTGAGTTTAGTCATATTGGTAGCATTTCTAGCTTGGTATCACCACAACAAGTGCCTCATTGACCCTAATTATGTTTTGCTGCTCCAAGAAATTCATCACACATGTAGGGTGCAAGTTAAAATGCCTATTGAAAGACATGTCACCATTATTGCATTAAAAAAATTGGGATCTAGCAAAGCACTATTGTCATACTAACTAGATGTTTGGAGCTTAGCATCCATGACTTCTACCATTAACTTCTTGAGAGAGAGAGAGAGAGAGAGAGAGAGAGAGAGAGAGGAAGAAGAAGAGTGAGTATTATCATCTATCTAGGAGCTAGTGAATCTCACATTGTATGAAAGTATAATAAGTATCGATATCATATACTTTCAACAAACAGAATAAAGCACCAAGTTTTTATGCATTTTTAAATAAAGATATATTGGTCATTAAAGTGGTCATGGCTCATGGTTAAGTCCTTGGATTGATAAAACTTGGTGGTTGTTGTTGGGCTGAGAGGTGTTATAAAATGGCAAGGTTATTGCTCATTGTTGCTAGATGTGACCTATTGAGGCTCAAATCTATGCTCAGGGAACATCGCATTAAGATTGGCATGCCTACTTTTATTTTCATGCTTAATGGGTCAACTTCGATGACCTCAAGTGCTAGTTGGGTGGGAATCTAGGCTAATTAAAACCAACCACTGACGCATGTGCCATCTGGTGAATTGACAACCCGCATACATAGACAGCATTGGGCGGTGAGATAATTAATTGGGATTGGATACTATTTAATGGGCATTGGTGAATTCGGTAGTATTAGGGAGTGAACCATGGAAATTATTAAATAAATGGAATTTAAAAAATTAATGAGAAGCTGGAAGAAAGGGGAAGGTTAGTTGACCGTGAGGAGTGTTTTAAAGAGTAGTTAATATTGGATGCAGATGTTTTACAATTTTATACCGTCAAATTAGAAAGAAGATGACCACGTTTTATTTCCAAATATGTCTAAACCGCAAACTACGTTCTTCTTAAATCATGTCTCTGACATTAATAAATAAATTTAAAATTACTTAGTTTGGGCGTCGAAACCCCCCGGGCCGCGTCCGACGTGGCTCTCCGATCGCCATCTTGTTCCACGTATCCACTGTGGGACCCCAGCAACCCACCCTGTCTGCCCACCCTCGTTCCGAAGGCCACTGAGGTAACGCACCGTAATGGCCCACACAAAGTCAAAATACTTTTTATCATCGACATTTATCCAAATAATATGATTTCTAATATATTTTTCTGTTTCTGTCCGAATAATTGTTCTGAAAGAAATTTGTGCAGATGAACCGGTGAGAACAATCGAGAATAAAAATCGAGCGCATTAACAATCCGGATCTTATCCCCTTAATCCAGCCGCCAACCGTCGCGTAAACCCCGCTGGCCTACACGAAGCGATTCCTCTCTCTCTCTCTCTCTCTCTCTCTCTCTCCCCCTGCTATCAACTGTTTATAAATAGAGCAGAAGGGAAGGGGCAACGGGGCTGGTGAGTGTGCGGCTATCAGTGTTAAATGGTGTGGCCGAACCAGTCAGTCGGAAGAGGATTGATGGCCCCATCACCCCACTACTGCGGCCTTCCCCGGTGGGGTGCTTCCTCGACTCCCCTTCTCTCGCTCGTTCTCGCAGGGATCTTCCTACTCGGGTGCTCCGCCCCGCGCGCCCTCTGCTACGAGCGCCCGCCGGCGAGGGCGGTCCTCACCATCCCCCCCCCTGCCGGCGACGCCACCCCCCAACAGGTGCGCCATAACCCCCCACCGCCGCACCTCCCTCTCTCTCTCTCTCTCTCTCTCTCTCTATTTCTCCGTCCAATTTTCTCATTTCCCGGATCTCCTTCTTCGTCCTCGTTTCCTGCTCCCTCGGTCTGACTCTGCAGCATCTTACTTCCGACAGGTGCATATATCCATGGTAGGCGCGGACAAGATGAGGGTGAGCTGGATCACCGTGGCAAACGTCCCCTCCACCGTCGACTACGGCACCTCTTCTGGCGTCTACACCAGCTCCGCCTCCGGTTCATCTTCAAAGTACACGTACATCTTGTATACATCCGGTCGCATCCACGACGTCGTCATTGGGCCTCTACTTCCGAGCACCATCTACTACTACCGCTGCTCCAACGCCACAAAGGAGTTCAGTCTCAAGACCCCACCGGCCCAACTCCCCATCAAGTTCGCCGTCGTCGGTAAGCCCATTATTCCCTTCCTCGTCCTGCGCGTCTCCAATGAAGATGGTTTGCTTGGGGCCGGAATAGGATTGACTTCGTCAGACTGTGCGGAGCAGGAGATCCCGGGCAGACCGGGTGGACGAAGACAACGCTTGATCACGTCGCCGCCTCCGGCTACGACGTGCTGCTCCTCCCCGGGGACCTGTCGTACGCCGACTACTTCCAGAGCCTGTGGGACTCGTTCGGCCTCCTCGTGGAGCCGCTGGCGAGCCAGCGCCCGTGGATGGTGACCGAGGGGAACCACGAGATCGAGTGGCTACCGCTGATCGAGTCCTTCAGGGCCTACAACGCTCGGTGGCGTATGCCGTACGAGCTGAGTGGCTCCTCCTCCAATCTCTACTACTCCTTCGACGCCGCCGGCGGAGCGGTGCACGTCATCATGCTCGGTTCCTACACGGACTTCGCCGTCGGCACCGCCCAGTACAATTGGCTCATTGGCGACCTGGGAAAGATCAACCGGCAGACGACTCCGTGGGTAGTGGCGCTGATCCACGCGCCGTGGTACAACACGAACTACGCCCACCAGAATGAGGGGGAGCCGATGAGGTTGGCCATGGAAGGGCTCCTCTACAAAGCCCGCGTCGACGTCGTCTTCGCCGGCCACGTCCACGCCTACGAGCGTTTCGTAAGGGCGAACCCATCTTCGTCATCCTCCTCTCGTCGATCGACGAGGGCACTTAATGCATGTTGTGACTTGATGTGATTTTGTTGTTTTGGTGGAACTATTTCAGGACCGAGTAAACCTGAAGCAGCAGGATAAATGCGGACCGGTGCACATCACAGTCGGCGATGGAGGCAACAGGGAAGGATTGGCTTCGGCGTGAGTAATCTGTCATATGGCTGCCCAGAGTATCTGAGTTTTAATCTTCGAGTTTTCCTAACGTTAGGATTAATCTGCAGATACATAAGTCCCAAGCCCGCCATCTCGCTGTTCAGAGAGGCGAGCTTCGGGCACGGCCAGTTCAACGTGGTCAACATGACTCATGCCCGGTGGACCTGGCACCGGAACAGCAACGACATCTCGGTCGTCGGCGACGGTGTCTGGCTGACCAGCCTCGCCGCCACCCCTGGATGCTCCGGGGTCTAGAGATAAGACCGATAGAATTTCCACCCATAAGAGAGAGAAACAGGTACAGTATACTCAGAAATAAAAGGCCCATTCTCCACCTCGAGAGTCCGTCTTTCCGTTAGGAGCTCCCGTTGGGGCCCACCAATGATGGGCTTGTGGACCCCAAGTATTCGTCTAGGTCAGCCCAGTAAGGTCAACTCGCCGGGCGTATCGTCAGGGCACATCATTGCCGTTCGGTAGGGCATCTTCCGTGAGAAGCGGACAAAGTCTGAACAAGACCCCGGCACGAAGGCCTTCTTGCCTATCTGCCACTTCAATAATACATTTATTAATATTCTGTCACTGACTCGTAGTTAGGCGTCGTGGTCCTAGTGAGGATATAGAAGCTATTACAGTAAAAAAATGGTATTTTTGCGTACAGTAATTTACACAGGAATTCAGACGTAATCTTGTCTCCATCGAGGTAGAGAGAGAGAGAGAGAGAGAGAAAGAGAATGAACAGCAGGGCTTTCTTCCACCTCTCCTTTCTTCGTATCTCCGGCCACTCTTCTCTGCTGCTGCTGCTGATGCGGCCGCCGCCAGCTTTCCGATCGTAACCTTCCGCGTTCGGGCCGTAACGGCCTTCTTCCGCCACCTTCCGCGTGCCCCAGCGACTGCCTGTCCCCGCCTAATCGACTGTTCCTCTCTTTTCCCTATCGATCCATCTCCGGTGACGTCCGCCGGTGGGGGAGGTGCGGAGGAAGGAGCAATCCGGGGGCAACCCTCTACTGTGCAGTGGACGACTCACTCATATGCCCATTCTGAAGGCTCCGGGGAGAGGGACGACCTCCCGAGTAGGCATTGGTCCTCGTCTGCTTCCTCCGGATGAAGCATTTCGAGGCGCAGTATTGCTATGCAGATCTGGCGGCCCCCATGAAGCGATTCTTCCGGGTAAGGGACGGCATCGTCCTCCTCCTCGTTGCGCTCGGCACGGCGCTTAGCTACCGCGCTGCCTTGTCCGGCGCCGGAATCGTCGGCTACTCCCACCCGGATGTCCAGCTCCTGTCTGAGGTTGCAGCGTCCTCCTCGGTGAACTCCTCTTTGCTTAGGCTGGCATCCATGGATGTGGGAGAGCAGGATCTGAGGAAGGAGATTGAGGAACTGGTCGACGGTACCTTCGCCGCCAGCGATCCGCGATACCGGACTGTCACGGCTTGGAGACGAATCAGCTTTGTCGAGGATCGCCTGCAGCGCCTGCGATCAGGCAGGACAGCTCCGATCCTCCTCCGGCGGCCCAAGGGCTACCGCGTCTATCCCGAGTTCCGACGGGTTCTTCGGGACTGGTCTCGCCGGCGGCGGTTCCAGCCGGGCATCATCTCTGAGCTGGTGGACCTCGTGAAGCGCCCCCTCGATCGGCATTACGCACGCCTCCGCCAGGACAATCCCACCTCATCGGCCTCCGGCAGCAGAGTGGATACTGCAACTCAGCGCTACGGCTCCTGCGCAGTGGTGGGAAACAGCGGCATCTTAATGAGGAAGGAACATGGAGACCTGATCGACGGGCACGACCTTGTCATTCGCCTCAACAACGCCCGCACCGTGGGGTACCAGAGGAACGTCGGGTCCAAGACCAGCCTCGCTTTCGTCAACAGCAACATCCTCCACCTCTGCGCCCGCCGGGAGTCCTGCTTCTGCCACCCCTACGGCGAGAACGTCCCCATCATCATGTACATCTGCCAGCCGCTGCATTTCGTCGACTACACCCTCTGCAACGCTTCCCACAAGGCCCCTCTGCTCGTCACCGACCCGCGCTTCGACCTCCTCTGCGCGAGAATCGTCAAGTATTACTCTCTCCGGCGGTTCGTGAAGGAGACGGGTAGGGCGCCGGAGGAATGGGAGGAGGCCCACGATGCGAAGGCGTTTCATTACTCTTCAGGGATGCAGGCCGTGATGCTCGCCGTGGGTATCTGCAACAGAGTCAGTATCTTCGGGTTCGGGAAGTCGGCCGAGGCGAGGCACCATTACCATACCAACCAGAAGGCGGAGCTCAGCCTGCACGACTACGAGGCGGAGTACGCCCTCTACCGCGACCTCATCGAGAGGCCACAGGTAATTCCGTTCCTAATGGAATCTGGTTTTTGGGTTCCAGAGGTGGTCGCATACGGCTAAGCGCTCCAGCTTCCCCTCTCCGATTTCGAAGCTGTAACCTTGGTTGGAAGAAGAAAGGGAAAGAGAATAGAACAGAAATCCGAAAGAAAGGAAGAAGAAACAATAAATTTGTCTCTGGGGATCTCGTTGCCCTCTTGAATCTCCCATTGGTCAAAACAGGCCAGGAGGCCTGCCCATGTAAAACTGGTTCCTGGGTCAACGGGATTTCCCTCTCAGAATCCTTGTGAACCATCCAGTCAATCATTAAACCTGGATTCACTTTTTTTTGTACTATCGCCAAGGTTTTGAATTTATTCATCTTTCTGGCGTCATTCTCTCTTTCTGATCGTTGCTTGAAGGCTGAAGGAACTGCAAGAAACAGTTTTGCTGACATGCGCGTATAGACCAAGAGATTGGAAGATAATTTTGGAAGGAACGAGTGCCTCCAGAGGCTAGAAGATCTTGGAGCATATGCCTGTACAGTTGAATCGAGCTTGAGGCACAGCGGCCTCTGCCAAACTACATCCATTGGGTGCTTAGCAACCTTGCTTTGACCTTAGTTTCCCATCTGCCTGTATGATATGGCCCGCCAATTTAGGTTGTCCTAACGTCAGAAGTTACCTTAGAATATTATTCTTTACTGGGAAATCAAAGCATGGTAAGATTGGGGAAGATTCGATTTTCACCGGATTCACGGGGTGCAGATTTATAACTGAGGTAAATCCTTTTTGTTAGAGGCTTGGAGTTGACTTTCTTATGGGGAGAAACGTGCTTGTCTTGGCAACAACCAGGGTTTGAATATTCACTGGTTTGAATGCATTCACTGCATTCACTGGTATGGGGAGAAACGTGCTTGTCTTCTTCTCAAAACCCGTGAAGCAGCAGATATCTAAGGAGAAAAGTCCAGGAACGGAGGGGCCAAACCTGGGCGAACATCTTGGGAGATTTTCCTTTCATGACTCGCTCCTCCATCTTCTATTTCTTCCTCTGCTGCAGAGATTTCCTCCAGTTCTTTTTAACCATGTCGGATCATTCTAATGGGTCTTGGATGCTCAAAACGTTGACCTTTTGTGAACGGTCCTTGTCGGGATGGTCAAAGAAAAGTCAAAGAACGAGCTCTATTTCCTTCGATGTGCTCACAGCATCGATGCACATCTCTGGCAGGGTCTTGATCCCCAGGTGTCCTCTAGAACAGAAACCCGGAAATCTCATAGCTACGAGAAATCTAGAATAGGAACCAACCCGGGAATCCAAACTAATTCTTGTAGTTATCAAGCAGGCACTTTCTTCCCCCTGCTGAAACCAAATTGAGAGTTGACCCAACCTTGTTCTTGAAGTCAAACTGGAATCACTGGACTTTCTGATGGTTTCCCGCCGCCCAGAATCAGTCCAGCATATCCGTCTTTCGCATCACAGAAACCGGATGGCCCTGTTTTTGTTTTGGTCAACGTCTTCGATTGATGCCGCGTTGAGGAATCTAGGATGAACAGCCCGGGGAATCTATGCTGGACCCCTTTTCTGATTTCATGCTCTTCTCTCCAATGCTGAAACCCAAAGAGTTGACCCAATCTTTTTATTAGTATTTTTTTTGTTCTGCACCTAATTCAGTGATATTATTAGTATTTTCTTATAAAATGATATCATTAGAATTTTAAAAATAAAGAAAAAGTGGTATAAAAACCAAGAGTGTCAATTTTACGGGACTATTATTCTGGAGGTCTAATTTTAATTAAGAATACTGATTAGGGGCCCGCCTACGTCGCCTCTACCGTAGGTAGGTCAATGGGGTTAATGGGCCTCTTTAGTCTGCAAGTCTGGGCCAGAGCTTGTACGGCGCTCATATGCAGCTACAATGGCGACAGAAATGGATGGTCCAGGTTAGGGGACTGGCAAGGCGGACCAGGTTACGGTTTATCCTGGTCCCTCCCTCTCTCTCCCTCTCCCTCCCTCTCTCTCTCTCTCTCTCTCTCTCTCTCTCTCTCTCTCTCTCTCTCTCTCTCTCTCTCTCTCTCTCTCTCTCTCTCTCTCTCCCTCTCTCTTTCTTTCTCCCTCTCCCTCCCTCCCTCCCTCTCTCCCTCTCCCTCCCTCTCTCTTTCTCTCTCCCTCTCTCTCCCTCTCTCTCTCTCTCTCCCTCTCCCTCTCCTCTCTCCCTCTCTCCTCTCTCTCCTCTCTCTCTCTCTCTCTCCTCTCTTTCTCTCTCTCTCTCTCCCTCTCTCTCTCTCTCTCTCTCTCTCCCCTCTCTCTCCCTCTCTCTCTCTCTCTCTCTCTCTCTCTCTCTCTCTCTCTCTCTCTCTCTCTCTCTCTCTCTCTCTCTCTCTCTCTCTCTCTCTCTCTCTCTCTCTCTCTCCTCTCCTCCCTCCCTCCTCTCCCTCTCTCCCTCTCTCCCTCTCTCTCTCTCTCTCTCCCTCTCTCCCTCTCTCCTCTCTCTCTCTCTCTCTCCTCTCCCTCCTCTCCCTCTCCCTCTCCCCCTCTCCCTCTCTCTCTCTCTCTCTCTCTCTCTCTCTCTCTCTCTCTCTCTCTCTCTCTCTCTCTCTCTCTCTCTCTCTCTCTCTCTCTCCCTCTCTCCCTCACTCTCTCTCCCTCTCTCTCCCTCACTCTCTCTCCCTCTCTCTCTTGCAGGACGGGCGAAGGGATAGGAGAAGCGATGAAGGTGTCCACAATGAAAAGTTGATTTCTGATGGAAAGTAGAAAGCGATGTTGTGATTTTCTTACCGGGAAGCATCTCAACTAGGGAGGAAAGAGTCACCGATCAGTAAAGGTACTCAAGAGGTTGTTAACATATTTGAGATCTGTAATTTATCCATGATGATTCACTCACTTTATTGTCTTCTTGATAAGGTATAAATTATCCATGATGTAAAATATGTATTATAGTCTATCTTCTTATTCGTGACGGTTTCTGTCATTTATTTCGCGTCTGGCCGCGATAGGATTTTATTCACAGCTTTTTGGAGGGTTCGAACTAAATAAATGCAACCGTTTTAGTCTCGCTGTCTTGAAGAGCAGCACAATCCGCCTGGTAGTGAAGGCTCATCCTCCCCTCCGTTATCTCATCTCCCTCATCTCCCGCTACGCTTGTAACCATTGGCATCAAATAGTCAGGTATAACATGCTAGAACATTAATGCCACATGAACCATAGGACCATTCTGCTGCACAATTACTAATTATTAGATAACGATGAAATAATAATTTCATAGCTATGATGTGTAGGAATAGTAGATGAGATAGTTTGTTCAAATGATAGGTATGCTTTTCAAGGGTATTCATAATTTGTACTCTTCATTAGATGCATCTAATAAATTTACACTGAACGTATTGAAATCTTTATTATGTATTGCACGCATTAGAAGTAAACAAACTCACTCAAGCTTTAGGTCCAATAATTTTGGGTTCACAACCAGACCACTAGAAATAACAGAGATCAATTATTTGGTCTTTCAAGGGTTCTTAGTCTAATTAAAAACTTTGCATTCATTTTAATCAATAATTTTTCGAGATTCATGTGGGTTTATAAGAAAGTGTCTCAAGTATTTCTCAATATTTTCAAAACTGGTTTTCAGTCATAAAGGAATTTTGGTTGATTGTGTTTCGGGTGATCATGGAGGTGAATGTGAAAGTTAATTGTTTTCTGATTTATATTATAAATATGGCCTTATTTAAAAATTCAACAATAAAAATATGGGGTCATAGAGAGAAAAACTCAAATTTTCTTTGACTTGAGCTATGATTTTAATAGAGTTTAAAAAGAGTTCAAATTTATATTTGGGTTGAAGTAGTGAGTGGTCCTTTTAACATAGTGAATAGAGTTTAAATGAGACCAATCCTTAAAAGATGCCATAGGGGGTCTTTAAGAACAAAAAAAATCCAACTTCAGCTATTTTAAACCATTTTGCTTCAAGTGTTTCATCTTAGCAAATGAAAAAGACGAGCTGAACAAATTTGATCTGAAGAGCAATAAAGCTCTATTTTGTGGTTACTTAGAGGATTCTTAGACTTTAACATATTTACAACAGAAGCATATATTCATATTATCTTTAATGTGAAAATTTGCTTTGATTATTTTGGGTGGAGCTTAAATGCATTAAGATGAAATAGCCGACTTAACACATGAGATGACTTTTTTTGATTTAAATCATCTAGCATCAGAACAGAAATATTCCCCATTTTCCAATAAATATATGTTTATCAGAAATAATCATACTGTGAAATAATAAATAAGGGATTATAATAAATCAACTAAATCCTCTTTGAGATAACATTTAAATTTATTGGATTTGCATCTGCTATTGAACCTAAAACTAGAAACAATGCATAACAGCAGTTTGATCGATGGAATTCACCAAGAATAAATCAGTTTGAAATGAACATTGGTGGACACTAATAATTGAATTTGAAAACCAAAATGTGATTAGTACTAAGTATTTTTTCAGGAACAAAATGAATAAATATATAAAAGTCATAAAAAATAAGGCAAGAGAAGCTTCTCAAAGATACAGACATGAAGAAGGTATTGGTTTTATTGAAATCTATGTCACTATAGCGGGAATAGCTACCATCCAATATTTCTTGCATTCTCTTGTTTTAAAGATTTATCGAGGATTAATAAAGGGTTTTTCAAAGTATCATTCTCGATAGTTTTAGCTATGACTGTTCATATCTCACACCCATCTGCTTTAAGAATAATAATTTCAGGATCATGTTTTAAACTTGATAAGGCTTCCTATCATTTCAAGTAAGCAATGAGAGCCAAGTGTGAACGATTGTACAAGTCCCTGCGTTATAAAAGATTTTACAGGAGTAGCATGGATACTAATTTGTTTATTAAAAACTAGTCTCTTGATGTTTTGACGACCAAGTATAACTTAGGGGCTTATTACGATAGAGAGGATTATTGCCTCTGTATGTATTCTTATAAGTATGAATATAACGAACCTTATTGCTACCCCTTCAAAGTCGACTAACCACCTCGCCTGAACTCTCACGTTGCTAACGGTTAAAAACTCTAAGATTTCAGTATCT